GCAAAGTACAGGGGGGCTAGTCACACGAAGTTCCCACTTTTGGGGCCTGGACACATTTTTCCCATAAAACAAAGACAAGAACAAAACCTTTGTTTCCCATGAAATTTCAACGAGGATCACGTAAGTTTTCTATCAGGGTGACAGGCAATCTTCATCATTACTGACCCCGTGCAAAATAATACACAAATGATTTAGAGTTAATGAAGATGTCATGAATCTCAATGTAGTTTGTGAAAGTGACCTCATATACTGAGAGAGAGAAGACGAGAAGTTTGTCTACATGCATATGATTGAGAGTAACTCCAGGATTCCTTAATGGCATTTGTTGTATTAGGAGTGATTTAGTTCATGGATTGAGTGAGATCTAGCCTCTTTTGTTCGGGTCGTTGTGTGATCTAAAGAGGAAGTAGGACTTCAATCGTACAGAAGGGTAGAAACGTTTTACATCATGTATAATTATTTAGAACCATTAAAGTTATGATATTATTTTATAATTTGCTACTTGTTAAAAATAACTTGCATTTGTCATTGTCAATAATGGATTTTCTTCTATTCTTTCTGTTGTGCAGATAGTGAAACAAGGGACATCAATATCAACAGTCCAAAGAAATAATAAAAAGAGAAGAAACAATGCTTTCCTCTCTTTAACCTTTTGTCATTGTCAATAACACATTTACATCAATGCTTTCTTGATGTGAGAATTGCCTGTATATTTTAGTATCAATAGATACTGATACTCCTGCTGGTTATAAGAATAAAACCAACAAAACCTGTGAAAAAGAGCACCCTCATTTGACGACTCTGAAACATTTTGTAGAACATATTTGAAATTAGGAATCTTTTGAACAACTGATATATATAATAAAAACGCTTTCTCTGTTTATAAATAAAAGTCAACGAGTGTTAACGTTGAGCCCCGTTCAATCGCACTTCAATAACAAGCCCACATATCGTAAGGAAAGAACATATCAATTACTCTGCACAAAAAGTATTACATAAAGTAAAAGCTTCCAATCTTAAGGTAACACAGGTTAAACAGGGCATTGAAACATGATGTTGCAACCGACAAAACAGAAGTTATAAAATGACAGAACGATGAATAATAATGAGAACCCCAAATATATATGATCGATCTCTTCAAAGTATACACAAAAGGTAACGCACACATTACACAACACGTTTTCACGGTGAGGGAGAAAGAACAAAAGAAAAGGCTGCAACAAGACTATTTCACATACAACGATGGTGTGCCCTAAAGGCACGCTGCAGATATCAATTTTTTCTTCCTTTTTGTTACACTTCAGGGTTGGTAGAATACAATGCAGCTGCAGGCAGCAGGATCAAAAGCTTGAAATAACTTACAGTATAGTGCACGAACAGCCTTTCTTAGGCAACTCCTCTACCTTCTTTTCTGATTACATCAAGCAAGGTAAATAGTGAGATGTTTGATGAGAAAAGTTATCATGTTATAAGCTAAAAATTCTATCACTATGGTGTTTACAAAGCTCTTGCACCGACAAAGGCTGCTGAGACAGTAATACTTTTATTTAGTTATAAAAGCGGAACACGTATGGTTAGGGGATAGAGGGGGAAAGAGAGTAGGCTGACAAGCATTTGATTTTGATTATTGCTAGTTGATGAATTCCCTGAAGATAAAGTACTAAATATTATTAGTTCATAGCTTTGAGAACAACATAGTGATAGCCAAACATATGGAATGGAAAGCGAATTCAGTAGGAATTATGTATTGCAATCAGTTCAGGTATGATATGTATGATATCCATATCCGCTTATTGATAATGAATACAGATACAGATATGCCTCGATAAGAGAAACTCATGTCTATATCTGCTAAAATCAGTTACTGATATGGATATACATGCAAATACTAAATGATTATGAGAAAACAAGATAATATTGAGCGAGAAAAAATAGTTCATATGATACAAAAAAGTTCATTAATATGTTTGTTATATCTAAAAAAACTAAGATTAGATCTATTGATCATCACAATTAATCTCAAATTTATTAATAAGGATTAAAAGAGTTGCAAATGTATGACCGACATATATTAGAAAATTTCAGATACGAATTTGGAAATTTCACTACAAATCCGGATTTTTAACCATGTCCTATTAAGTATAGATATTCATAACAATATTCTTATCCTGACGAATACAATTACAAATATATCCGTGAAGACATTTTTTTTTTTTGCACCCTATTAGAAAGACAATTAACCTATTTTCTTATATTCGTCTCTTTTGGACCAAAATACACATCTTAATTGATTAGTTCATAGCTTAGAGTTTGCTTCTATGTTACATGGGTACTTCTATTTAGAGTCGTTCCCATGTTGTACTCATACCCAACACTGAAACTTCATTAAGACACTCCTTGAATATTTGCATACACTTGTTCAAATGCGTACTCAATTATATAATACATGTTCTAATTTTGAACACTCATCATATACTTCTTGATCATATATCACACACTTCACATGCAATTCTTGGAACTTGTTGGACATAAGCTAGGTCCCTACTTGAAATTTGGATATGGATATTTTTTTTGCACCTGTAATAGAAAGACAATTAACCTCTTTTCTTATATTCGTCTCTTTTAGGACATACATCTATATTGATTAATTCGTAGCTTAGGAGTTTGCTTCTACGTTACATGGGTACTTCTATTTGGAGTTGTATCCGTGTCGTACCCGCACCCAACACCAAAGCTTTAATGGACACTCCTTAGATATTTACATACACTAATTCAAATGGGTACTCAATTATGTAATACATGTTCTAATTTAGAACACTCGTCATATACTTCTTGGGACTATTTCACACACTTCAAATGCAATTCTTGAAACTTGTTGGATATAAGCTTGGTTCATGTCTTAAAACTTGGATACAAATACTTTTGTGGCGCCCCTAGTAGAAAGAAAGCTTATACCCAATACAAAACTATGATTATAATTGTCTTTTATACATTAAGTTAAAAAATGAGCAATTTTCTCATTTATAGATCTATATAATAGAAGAAACATATAAATGTTTTAGGAGTTTTATGTCATAGCACATGAAATGAAAACATAATATTGAGCTCGTATAAGTTAGTACTATATATACATGGATGTATAGTTGTATCCCCATATCCTACTTTTTACAATTTTAAGGCATCCCCCACACATACCCGAACCCGTATTCGTGTAACTTAGCTTTGGTTCCTTTCTTCTATCATTTCTTCCTTTATATATTACAAAAAATACAAACTGACACACACCAATGCACAGGCAGACTCATGCCCCCACAACTGACCCACGCACCAACACATCCATGCACGGGCGCACACGCGCTCATGTAGTTAGTTAAAAGGTGAGCATGTCCCTAGCAAGGTTTTAGATGTTAGATGTCGGGCGGCTAAAATTCATGTCGAGTAACGAAAATCAGGGATATCGGAGGGGGTCATGAGAAAAATATCGGATTGCCATATCGGATAGCGTGCATGTGTAATATAATATCATAAATGAAATCTAAACATAATAAATTCTATTGTGTAAACATATTAAAAAGTAAATAACTTATGATGCTTAAGGTTGATGTTGAAGGAAAGAGGTGAGAAAAGAAGAGCCCGATATTGGCAGTTAAGGAGAGAAGATTGCTCGGTATTGATGTCGAAGAAACAACTCGGTGAAAAGACCGATGAGATGTTGAAGGAGAGAGAACTGGAGCGACAGAAATGGTTTAGGCCCTTTTTTCCCCTAACTGATTGAGTTTTGTCTTTGAAAGCAATATTAAGTCAATCAGAAATTTAAACCCAAACCTAATTAGATAAACATAACAAAAATCGACATTTAAAACACTGGTCCTCGGTGCAAGCTAAAACAATTATCATGGGAGTAAAGTTGCAATGAAATTGTCTATTTTACCCTCGGAAAAAGAAAAAATTCTTTTCGACTAATAGGCTTCCTTAGTGTAAAGAAATTATTTTCACACAGGGAGTCTATCCGCAATTGGGTGATAATATAGGGGCTCCATTAGGGTTGGGTGCGGGCCGCGTCAACCCGCGGACTGACCTGACCTAGCCCGGCATGGGTGACCCGGTCTCGCCCGTAATGGGTCGGGTTCAACCAGGCCCATGACATACGCAGCTCAGGGCCGGGCTGGGTCCAGCTCCAAACCTGGGACGAGAGAAATCGGCCCAGCCCACCTTGACCCGACCCACCATCAACCTAGCTCGACACTATCCGAAAATTTAATTTTAATTTTTTTTTAAAATATAAATAATAATCCATATAATTAAGAGCAGCAGACTGCTACGGTCCTGCTAACAACTGGCTTGCTGCTAACAGGCCAGCAACAATTTGTTTGCTAGCCTGCTTGCTGCAGTCTTATTTTTTGGCCCAGTCTGGCCTGCTAGTAGCAAGCTAGATTGGGTCTTTTTTCCTAAAGAGAAGCTCTTTAGCCTTTTTTCCTAAACAAAGAGACTGAGATAGGGTCACAGGCTTTCTTTTTAGTCTGCTAAAATTCATTTTAACTTGGTAAAAAGATCTTAGTCTCCTTAAAAAATCAAGCTGAAAGGATTCTCTTTTTAGCAAGCTAAATGGAAGATTAGCATGCTAAAAATATGCTCTTTTTAGCTTGCTAAGGCTAAACAGAGAGAGCCAGTGGCTCTCTCTTTTAAGTAGTCAGCAACAACACTGTTGCTGACTGCTAAAGAGCCAAAAACTCTTTTTAATTTTTAATTTTTTTAAAATAAAAGTGGGTCCAAGAAATATCTTCCCTCTGCTATAAATAGGACTCGTTTCACCCTCATATCTCATAACTTCAATAAATATATCTCATTCGAATTACAAAAAATCTCCTATACACCTTGCCAAAATTTTCTTAAAAAAATTAGAAAAAATCAGATGGATCCCTACTCATCTTCTTCACAATACTCTCCTTACTCATCCTCCTTACAATATACTTCCTCTTCTCCATCCAATGTTTTAAAAAATGACTTGGGCGGCTGCCTAGGTGCCCGCCTAGGCGGAGGCGGTGCTCAGGACGTCCCGAAATGCCCTGAGTAGCGCTGTTTAGGCGCTGGGAGCGCCTACGCGGCCACCCAGACCTAAGCAGGCTGTTTAAGCAGCCCACCCAACATTTCAAAAAAAAAAACGGGTGCAGAAAATAAGCAAACCCAAACCCAAACTCAAATTCAACTTACTCATAACCCTAATTCTCGTCAAAGCTTCACCGATGTCGCCACGAAAAACTATTGCTACCAAAACCCTATTCCTCATCTTCCTCGACCTCGTCGAAGCTTCCCCGACCCTCGTCGACCTCTCGGAGCTTCTTCGACCCTCGTCAACGCCTCTCGAAGCTTCCCCGACCCTCGTTGACGCCTCTCGAAGCTTCGCCGACCCCGTCTAAGCTTTCCCAACCCTCGTCGACGCCCGTCGGGGCTTCCCCGACCCTCGTCGACGCCTCTCGAAGCTTCGCAGACCTCGTCGAAGCTTCCCCGACCCTCGTCGATGCCTCTCAGAGCTGTCGAGGCCTATCGAAGGTTCCCCAACCTTCGTCGAAGCCTCTCGAAGTCACCTTCATCAATCTCAGACCTCGTCTTCGATCTTCAAGCTCCCCGATCTCTATAATAAGGTACAGTAATTAGTTAGTTTACAGAGACTTCTTAAATATCTATTTAAGTTAGTATAGAGACCTCCATCGAAGCTTCCTCGATCTCTGTAGCAAGGTATAGTAATTAGTAAACTTAAGTTAACAGTAAACTTAAGTTTTAAGTTAAACAGTAAACTTAAGTTTTAGTTTAAGTTAAACTTAAGTTTTTGTTAACAGTAACTTACGTTTAAGTAAACAGTAAACTTAAGTTAACAATATTTTAGTTAATAATAAAATTAAGTGTATTAGTTTAACTGTTTAAGTTTATTGTTAAATTAATCTTAAACTTAACATTAACTTATAAGTTAACAATAATTTAGTTAAGAATGAGTTTTTCGCTGTTGAGAACTTGAGATGAACTTATATGAACTTATAATTTGAGTTGAGAAGTATAATTTTAGTTAACAGAGAATGGTTTGTTTGTTCACTTGTTTCAGAATGTCGGGTGCTTCAGCGAAGGAGTCTACGGGTTCCACCATTATACCTGTACCCCCGTGAAAGATAGAAGGAACTCAGGAGACTTCGGTTGGGAGTTTGGATTTTGTCCGGACCCAAAAAATTTGAATATTGTACAATGTTGACTATGTGGACACAAGGTGAATGCGGGGATCCATCGATTTAAGAAGCATCTTGCAGGACTAAGGGGGGACATCGAACTGTGTTTGAAGATTAGTGAAAAAGATAAGCAGATGGTGAAAGAAGTGATTGATGCTAATTTGAAGAAGCAAGCAAGCTAAGGAGAAGCACACTA